TATCTCTATTTTACAGATGAAAAAACTGAGGCCAAGAGAGGTTAAGTGTCTTGCAGAAGTCACATAACTAGTGCCAGAGGTGCTGGAGCAGATTTAGAACAGAGAATGGAGAAAAGTTCAATTTGGCTTGAAAACAGGTATGAGATGGAATTGTATCCAGCTGGGTAGGCAGGAAGGAAAGAAAGGAAACTAGCTCTTTAAAAGTGAATACAATGTGTCAGGCCCTGTTCTAAGAACTTTTCAAGTATCACATTTAATCCTCAGATCAACTCTGGGAGGTAGGTACTGTTATCATTTCCATTTTACAGTTGAGGAAACTGCTTACCTCCTAATTTTATGATCCACTGAATTCCCGAAACATCAAACAGACTAAACACACACAGGGATGTGCAGATGAATTTGTTTCTATCAATATGTCTTTGTTTTTGGTCTTTTTTTGTTTTGTTTTGTTTTGTTTTAGGCAACTGGGGTTCAGTGACTTGCCCAGGATCACACAGCTAGTTAGTGTCAAGTGTTTGGTCTGAGGCCGGATTTGAACTCAGGTCGTCCTGACTTCAGGGCTGGTGCTCTATCCACTGACCCACCTAGCTGACCCTCTATCGATATGTCCAGTGTTAGTGGTGGAAACTGTCGAACTGGACGAACTGGTAAAGGTGGCAAGAAGCTTATTTAAGCTATCAAAATTGCACTAAGAGATTGAGGCACCCTGGATTTATTAAGCAGCCTTGAACGAAGTGTTGAAATGTAAATGGGAAAAAGGAAGGATTTGTGAAACATCATTCAATCTGCCTCAGAAGTGAAGGGCAGGGCCCTCCATGGATATTTTCATGGACGATCTATGGATGTCAAAGGTGGGTCAGGCTGGGCGGGGCTGAATGACAACTAACTCTAGGAAGGATCTAGGTGTTTACCTTAAAAAAAAATGCAACCACTAGTATAAGTTTGCTTTTTCATTCTGCTCTTGGTTCTGAAAGTGAAGCTGAGGCTGCATATTTTGCAAGGTTCCAATTTGCGGGTCCGTGGTTGAGAGATGCTTCATCACATGGAATAAGAAGGAGGAGATCATCTAAGTTCTGAGTCTTTATCCTATCTAGACCCACAAAGAAATTATTTCTGAGAAGCCATTGCTACAAACAGAACATTTTCTTGCTCTGCACACCATCCCTGAACTTCCACTGCAATGCAAAGTAAAGAAAAGGGCATTGGATTTAGAGTAAGAGAACCAGAGTTCAAATTTGGATTCTCTTATTTACTAACTTGGGTAATCCTGGCCATTATCACTTTACCCTCCTGTGCCTCAGTTTCCTCATCTGGAAAATAAGAATAGCTAGTATTTATATAGCACTCGAAAGTTTACAAAATGCTTCATGGATAGCATCTCTTTTGATCCTCACAACAAACCTGTGAGACAGGAGCTGAGGCTGAGACAGGTTAAGTGAATTGCCCAAGGCCATGTAACTTGTAAATATCTGAGGAAAGATTCAAACTCAGGTATTCCTGACCCCAAAAACTAACACTCGATCCCCTGAACTATCTAACTACTTCTTGAACAAGTTGAGGCATTCTTTATCTTTAAAAAAAAATTTTTTTTTTGGCAAGGCAATGAGGTGAAGTGACTTGCCCAGGGTCACACAGCTAGTAAGTGTCAAGTGTCTAAGGCCAGATTTGAACTCACTGAAGATGGGGGATTCTTAACCTGGAGTCCATGAATTTGTTTCATAAAATATTTTTGTATCTGTATTTAAACATAAAGGGTTTCCTTCATAATCTTGTGTATTTTATTTTATGCATTTAAAAATATTAGAGAAGGGGATCCATAGGTGTTACCAAACTGCCAGACAAACCATGACATGAAAAGTACTCCTGGTCTCTATAGGCTATGACGGTCCTTTTTTTAAACTCCTACTAATAATTACACAGCAATCAATAATGCCAGGTGGCAGCCAGGTGGTTCAGCGTATACAGTGCCAAGCCTGGAGTCAGGAAGACGTGAGTTCAAATCTGAAATCAGACACGTACTAGCTATGTAACCCTGGGCAAGTCACTGAACCTCTATTTGCCTTAATCAGCTAGAGAAGGAAATGGCAAACCACTCCAGGATCTTTGCCAAGAAAACCCCATGGACAGTGTTGGTCCACAAGATCACGAAGAGTCAGACATGACTGAACAATAGCATCAATAATACCAAAATGAATGTGTGAAAATGGGTTTTTAGTGATGTCAAATGGAAAGGTCCAAGATGAACTGGTCCTAAGACCTGAAGAGCCATCTTGAATTGTTAAAGGTGAGTGTTAGGGAAGAGAAGATGGTGACTTCCTGATTCTGAAGGAGGGCAGCTACTAGCCTTCATTACTCATGGCAAAGAACTCATCTACCCTAAGACTTCAAAGCCAAAGCCAGATCTCCTCTGCTCTCAGGCTTGAGGAAGAATGGTTTATGTTTAAGAGGTGGCTGTCCAGGCCTCTCATGCCCCAAAACATAGTAGGCAGGGTGGCCACTTAGCCAGCTGGTCAAGAGCCACCCCCTTGACCAATTGCTTAGGTGCCACTTTTCTGGGTTGGTAGTATGGGTTATTGTGGTGAGGTTTGGACAGAGCAATCTATAGTTAGGACATCTGGGTTTAAGTCCCAACTCTTCTTACTGCATGACTGACAGCAAATCACTTAACCTCTCTGAGGATATTTCCTGTTAAATGGGAACAATACTTACAGGTTTACTTCATGGGACTGTTGTGGGGAAAGCGCTCTATCATCCTTAAAATGTTATAGAAATGTGGACACATTCATTTCCCTCTTGACTTGTGTATGGAACTCCTGCTATGGAAAAATCCCTTCACCCACATTAATCACACTTCTCGTGAAATTTATAAGCAGAGAGTTGCCTGGGACACTGAGAGATTAATTGACTTGCTCATGGTCACTAGATAAAGAAAAAGATACTGAAGGCCTCCTGCTTTAGACTGATCAGAGTACCTTTCTAGGTCCACCACACGAAAGGTATCAGTTCAGAAGACCCCTAAAAGAGAGACCAATTTGTACCACACATGTTTCTGAAGTTGCCACTGGCTCCTTGTGGGTCCTTGGGCACCTCAATCCTCCTTCTATCAGTTTCCTCATTAGTCAAACCTCACAGAATTCTCATGAGTATCAAATGATATGAGACTACTTTTTTTTTAAAGGTAGATATTTTATCAGCAGTTTTTCCTGTTTGCCTCACTCACCTAAAAGGGATATTAATATCTGCTATCAATTACATAAAATTATTTCTACTTACTAGTGGATTGAAAGACCTGTAAGGGTTGGACTGTTTTGTCTTTTTTTTTTAATCTTTGTAGCTTTACCTGCCAACATTGTCTTGCCCATGTTTTAGGGGTCTGTCCTAAGCTTATGATTGCAATGCCCTATATGGAAATTCCTTCCACTTAAGCAGAATAGCTATCTGGAACTTAGTCTTAGAGGGTTATCTGGGGTCACTGAGAGGTTGAAAGACTTGACCAGAGTCATAGGAATGTATCTAAGGCAGGATTTGATTCCATGCCTCCCTAATTCCAAGGCTGGTTCCTCAATCTACCACACAATTGCCTCTTCCCCTTGCACATGGCGTAATTGTTTTGTGAAGCCTCAAAAGGTTCCAGCAGTGTGGTTTTTCCCTCTTTCGATACAGACAGAAGGCCATTCACATATTTGTGGATATGTGAATTCTGTGGTGAAAAAAAAAATCCATTCCCTAGTGTCCCAACTTCTGGTGATGGGCCTCTGAACTTAGCTAGGCTGGTTCTCAGATAACAACAGATTTTGCCAATAGACCCCTTTTCAAATTCTTTCAAGGATTTATAGGATCTGGCAGGGCTTGGGCTCTGTGAACGTAGCCTTTGATAATCCAGGGGTGCCATTTCCACGTTGTGGCAGAGCACGAAAATACAACTTCAGAAGGAAGAGAATTAGTTGGGCATTTTTCAAAATTATTTAAATTAATGATTTAGGTCCTCTGACTAAATGGCTAGAAAGCTGTCCTTGGAGTGAGGACAATATGAGTTAAGGTCTCACTTCTGAGGTATTGGCTGTGTGACCCTAGGTAAGTAATTAACCTCTAAGCAACTTTCTAAGACTAGACCTTGTAGAGAAGATGCCAATCAGCATTGGTAGAGGGAGTCATCTATGTTTAGTGGAAAGTTACTTATACCAACGAAAGACCAATCAGATAATTATGCCTATGAGAAAGATCTGATTCCATCCCATCTTTCCCCAATCAATTAAATGCTTTGAAATTCTCAAGGTGCTGAAAAAAAATGTAAATTATTAGATGCCTCAGAAAAAACCATTCATTAATAGATCTAAATGTCAGACCTTTTATGTATCACATACACCATGTTGCTATTATAACAAGTTTTTTTTTTTAGTGTTTAAATATATTTGAGCAAATAAATGCATACCACATTGGCAGACTTGTGCATCACTCTGCTTGGCCCAGGGATTTGGCCAAGGACAACTCCTCCGCTGGAAGAAAGGCAGTGCAGGCAGCCAGAATAGCCGGAGGTGAGGGACTTTCAGATATGAAAGAAAATGAGGTGGATGAATTGTTCAACATCCTTCCATGCTTTTAGGACTTACTGAGATGTAGGAAGCAGAATTATATAGGGCCATTATCTATGAGGTAGAAAAGGAAGACTAGCAAGAGAAATAAAAACCTCAATGATTTAAAAAAACAACAACCCCAAAAGGATTAGGAAGTGTTGACAAAGATCAATTTTTTAAAATAATGTGCTTATTGAAATGATTTATAAAATTTTCATGTATGAATACAAAATTTGGAAAAACTTCATCACTGATTTGTTAGGCCCAATCCAAATATGGAAGAGGAATACAAATAAGAAACTGTACTGTCACCTGGTAAACTGTTTAAGTCCTGATGAGCCAGGCAAAGTAGAATCACAGAGTATTTCAAACCCCCGCCACCCTGCCATACCCATCAATATAAACACTAACTTAATAATAATCATGTATTAGCATCTTCATTTATTCATTCATTCCAACACTTATCAAACACCTCTGTGCAATGGACCATACTTTAAGATTAACCAAAATACCAGAGTATTTTGTCTTTCATGGGGCCACCTTCTAAAAATGCCACATTCCTCCTTAGTCCTAGATTGGAAGGTCACTGCCACGTTACCATTTCACTGTGCATGAACAAAAGAGGAAACAGAAATACAGCAGGCAAGTCAAATGTTCAACATCAGTCTCTAAAAGCACAGTGCCTGCTGGTGCAAAAGAATGACCATTCGAGATATTTAAAAAGAGACTAGAAATCAGAATAAGCCAGCTTTTAATCAAGCAAAACCAAGTTTATATTCATTATTTCTAAAAATAAAATTAGACTTTTCCCAATCCTTTACATCTGCATTTAATAATATTTTCTAAACAAAATACAGATGCTATAACATAGCAAGTGACAGTCTATATCATGTACAGCAATACGATATGTTCAGTTTACATTTACGTCAGTTCTAATTTGGTCATTGGTACTCGACTCATTACTTTAACATAGGACTTAAAATAAATTTTTCACAATTGACTATAAACATTAAGATGCTGTCTTAAAACTGCTCTGCTAGAAACTGTATAGAATATACAGAATTACAAAGTCAAGGTTTGGTGGTTTTTTTGGGTTTTTTGGTTTTGTTTTTTAATCAAAATATACAACCCTCCCCCAAAACGAACACAAGCTATCAGCATTTTATTTTTATTTTTATTTATGAATGATACAATTATAGAAAATATCTGTAAAATTATCTTTTCATGTATAAATATTCTGCCATATTTACTTTGGTCTAGAATTATCAGCATACAAGTCCACTTAGAAAATATCCCACATGTGCAGACTGGAAGAATTCACTACTGATAATAGTGACTTCACAACTTGAATTGTCTGAAGCCAAAGGAACTAATGAAATAAAATACTTCTCCTGGACACATAGCCCTCATCTAGGGTAGCGTGAATCAGTGGACCACAGGATTAACTATTCAATACTGTAGGTATTATTTCAACAAAGACTTTTTTTAGTTCTGACTCTTACAAAACTTTTTAAACAAAACCCAAAGTAAATGACTAGTGCATGTATGTTATGTATAAAAGAACATGTAAATTCACTTGTATTTTGCCCTTTATAATACTGCATGAAAGTGAAAGTGGAAACAGGAGGCTAATGAGGCTGCAGTATTGTGGTTATTTAATAGCAAAGCACTACAAAATGAAAGGTCAGCTTCCATCCCATCCTTCTCTGGATTGTTAAAATGCATTCTTGCCCACCCAGTGGAACAAAAGTCCTCTTCATAAAGACTTCGGAGTAGCACAAAGAGAAGGGCCAGCCAGATACCATACTGGAGGGCCCAATGCACTCCAGGTTGATTTCAGGGATTGCAGGGCATCCCTTGAGCTCTTGGCTGATGGCTTCCAGATGTGGCTTTTATGTGAGGGGACAGGTCAGGAATGTACCCCCTTTCTCTCTGGCAGGTGCAGAAAGTCAGAGTCGGGGAGTCCTACATCTTCTGGGGAAGAAACAACGCGAACCTCTTTAATCTGACAACCACGTGCAGCAACTAGTCAGTCTTTGGGGGAAAACGTTAAGGGTGCTTGAAACCTGGAAATGATGTTAGGGGACACATAGAGGTCTCTGGCAAGGTATCTGTTACCTAAGACTGAAAAGAGGCATCTAGATCGGTGGTTCAATTTCACAGGAGTCAGATAAGTAGGGGAGCAGTAAGCCTCTTTAATCATTCAACATCCCACCGTTACACACACAGTCCAGGAGTCCAGTAGTGCTAATGTTTGGATTTAGGGGACTGAGGGTCTCACTTCCTCTGGCCAACCTAGGTGATCAATGGAGATAGAAATTCCACAGTTTCCCTAAGTATCTCACTCTTGCAAGGTAACTCATGTAGACTACCCAGTCTTTCCACAAGAAGGCCCATGGTGGTAGGGATTGGGCATTGTGGCGCAATCAAATGCTTAGCAGTTTACTACCACAAGCTCACCTTTCTTTAAGTATTTCAGTTACTTGCCCAGTGGAGCTGGGAAAGTCCCATTTCATTTGAGCCCTTGAGATTGGATGGGTCTGCCTTGAAATGGAAGCCTTCTGAGATTTGAATGGTGCCTGGAAGACTGCAGATATGCTCAGTCAAATTTGACCCTTCTTCATCTCAGAGGTGAGATGAGACGTTCTAAAGCTAAATCGAAGCAATATACAGTTTAAGTAATTGCTGGTACATTTAGTAGTGTGGTAAAAATGTTTTGGGAGATACCAAGTAGACCACTGATGTCAAGATCCCCATAGTTGATCAGCCATAACTTCAAGAGAACTTTATCCAGTAGCGCACACTGCGTTCTTAAATTAGCTTTTTGGCCATACCGAAAATAACCTTTTATCAATTTTTCCCAAATTCTCATTTGTAGACCTACTTTCCCTCCATCACTTTCATTTGCTAACTGAACATGGACAGTATAAAACTATGGGGTTATATTATTTTTTACAAGATTTGTTTTACAAGAAAAGACGAATGAATGCTTTTCTTTAGGTTACTCATCTCAAAATTTCCCCCAACCATGTAGAATTTCATCTAATATCAAAAGTTTGTCTTTTGAAAATTTTAACAGTACTGAAATTGGATGGGGGTTAAAAAAGCATTGATGACATATTTCATTCACCTTTTAACACACTGGTGAAGTTGACATTCTCATGGCATCTGAACTTTGATTTTCTTCAAAGTGATTCAAGTTCAGTATTTCATAGCCAGTTTGGCAGCTCCTAACAACGCTCAACGAAAAGAGCGTTAGGCTGATTCGTTCTCTTTTGAAATTACAAAGTACCCACTGGCAGAAGTATTGTAGCTAAGAATATCATTTGCCCTCTCATGATACTTGGGGAATACGAAGCCTCAGTTTTTATGTTCTGGTGCATTTTGCTTTTACAGCTAATGCTGAAACCTACGAACAGGAAGAAAAAGTGTCATGTTTCAGGAACTTACACAAATTTGAATTTCCTCTATACTTCACCCATTTATGTCTGTTACCTAAAAAGAAAAAAAAAAAATCATTGTCTAGTGGGTTTCCCACCACTGTCAATCAAAGGAGAACATCTTCAGACATAGTATGTAGGGTTTCCTTCATCTTGTTTCCACCCGAGTCAGTGAAATGTTGATTCTCAAAAGGCTTAGGGATTTCATTGCCCCCATCCTCTTTTTTCTCCAGCTGATTGGGGCTTTTGAACAAGTGTTTCTTTTGGTGCATCCCCAGGGCAGCTGCTGTTTTGCAAATTTTGGGGCACTGAAAGCAGGCATAGCCCTTTCCATTATGCTCATGGATATGCTTCTGCTCATGATTCTTTTTGGTGGACAGATACAGAAAGCTCTGCAAACAGAACTGACAACGATAACGTTTTTCACCCGTGTGAATTCTTTCATGGATTTTGAGGGTTTCATTTAAAGTGAATGCCTTATTACAATACTGACAGATGAATTCTTTGACCCCAAGATGAATGCGTTCATGTTTCTGTAAGTTCCCTTGAACGGAAAAACACCTTCCACATGTTTTGCAAGAGTAAGGCTTCTCTCCAGTGTGACATCTCATATGCATTTTGAGGTTGGAAGGGCTCTGGAATTGCTTTTGGCATAGTTCGCAAGCATGAGGCTTGGATGTGGTATGATGCCAATGGGTTTGTCCTTGGTGTCCAGCAGATGCTTTATCCCCAATACAAAGCTCACAATGAAGGCTGGGCATCTCCTTATTTTCTTCTCCTTCAATGACCTTTTCCTTAGGGCTCCTTTTGACAGCAGAGTCTTTGTCACTTGAGTTTGTGTGTTGTTCATTGCTTGGGCTCCTGTTTCCATGTCTTTTCTTCCACTTGACTTTCTTCATTTTCTTTAATTGTTTGGATTTCTTCTTGGGTTTATAATTGTAGTATGGGCGCCACGGCTTGTCCGTCGTATCCTGGTCACTGCCATCGTCAAACATTTCACTCATTTCCACGCATTCAGATCGGCTCAGCCTGGCTGGGCTGCTCTCTTTCCGTTCTGTATCACTTTCTCGAAGCAAACTGTCGTCCTGAGTCTCGTGCTTAGATCTTCTCCCCCTTTTATAGAACAGTTTGGACCCTAGAATGTGTCTTTTCACAATAGCCTCATTCCCAATTTTTACTGTTATCTGGCAGAGAGGTGCAACATTACTGTTAGTTGATGTCCCAGGCAAGGCGGGTTTTGCAATATATGTTTCAGTTTTACTGGTTTCCTCAATAACGCTAGTGGTTTTACTCGAAGGACCTCCAGAACTGGTGGCAAACTTTGCCTCCTCAAATGTTTCTCCCCTGTTGTAGGGCATAACTTTTTTCTTCTCCTTAATGCTTTTGATCTTGCTGGGGATTTTGCCTAAGTTCTCGGCATGCTTACTGTCATCTCTTGGGGAATGGTTAACAGCAGTGTTTGAAGAGATGGCGTTACTGCTTGTCATGGCAGTGACTGCATTACTGTGCATTATCACCGAGGAAACCCGGCTGCTGTGAACAATGACAGATGGTGCGGAGCTGCTGTAGCTAATGACTGATGTGGCATTTTCACTGACGTTACTGTAGGATGGAATTGTCACGTCACCTCCACCCTGTGAGCCAGAAGTGAGACTTTTTCCCCCTGAGGGAAGTGGCTTCTCAGCAGGACTAAAGTTATTTTTAACAGGGTTCAGCAGCCCTCCTCCTACTCCCCACAAGGTCCCATTTTGAAGATCTGTAGCCTGGTGGGCTTCCTTACCTGAAGGGGCATTGGGTGAAGTGGCTGAACTATTTGACAGCATATTCACATTGTCTTGGAGAGTTAAAGTAGGCAATTCAGAGCTTCTGGGATTCTTAATAATGCAGGAACTGGGAGCTGGCTCACCAGGCTGGCTGCTTTCTTGTGAATTTTCATAGGAAGAATTTTTGTAGCTCTTATAGGGAGCCCTTTTGCATTTCATAGGCAGCAGTCTGTAAAGCTTATAAGGATAGATATTAGGCTTCAGGCCTCCGTTGGCCGTCTTCTTATTAGGAAGCCTATGGTCAATTGCATGGAAAGATTTCTGATGGTTTTTAAGGATATAGTAAGTCATGAAAGTCTCCAGGCAGAAGATGCACTGATATCGTCTCTCTCCGGTGTGCCAAATTTCGTGCCTGGTCCTATATTCTGCCAAAGCAAATACTTTGCTGCAATAGTGACAAGGGTAGGTTCTCCTCCACGAGTGAACGTTGGCATGTCTTCGGAGACTAGACAGAGTTACATAACTACGCTTGCACACGACACACGTGTAGAGTATTTGCCCGTCCACAACCTTCACTGTATGCTCTACTTCTGGCAAGGTCCGGCTTGTGCCAGAATGTTCACCCACCTTACTCTCAGATGACGGCATTTCGGGACCCTTGTAGGAACTTTCAGTTTTTCCATCTGGAGGTGAAAAGCTCTGTTGGTTTCCACCAGGAAGAGGGAGACGGTCTGAGTTCACGCAGGTCTGCTCATGCTTGTCCAGCCTGTTGGAGGTGGTAAATTGTTTGTCGCAGTATTTGCACACAAAAGCTTCTTGAGGCTTTGCGTGGAGCTGCAGGTGGGACTCCAGTAAGGCTGGACTTTCAAATGATTTGGAGCAAAAAGTGCAGTCGTAAACAGGAGGAGGAGGAGGAGGAGGAGGAGGAGGTGGTGGTGGTGGAGGAGGAGGAGG